TTGTGTAACAAGTAAGCAAAACCAAGATACTGTGAACCGCAATGAAACACGCAATAAACCTTGTCAAAGTAGGCAGAAAAGCAGAAGAAACAATCTGTTTCAAAGCACCTTGAGTATGTTTTAAATGAAATCTACTTTCGCATTTGCAGAGCCATCCGCAAAATAAACCTAAGAACCAAGTAACATGTCTATAAGGTAATCATTTGACCTGTTCTCGTGTGAGGGTAGAATAGATCGCTAAAAGTCCAGATTAGACCGTGGATCACCTTTGGAAACTTAGATCTACACCCAAGGACGATATCTGTCGACGAAGGAAGCTGTCAGTAGACCGTAGGCCAAGTCAATCAAACTGCACTGCAGTTCAGGGTGAAAAAGGAAGCATGAGGTTTTGTCAGAACTAAACAATGGTCATGACTGAAATCTTTGCGGTACTGTTGTCCGCAGCTGTAAATGGCTATCTCCAACTATCCCTGAAGCTAGTTCATGCTCAAAAAACGAATTGGTCGCTCAAAAGCGAAATTAAGTTAAGTTAGAGAGAAACAACAAAAAACATTATACGTTTGTCTGGATGGACTAAAGACTAAGCCCGAAGGTGAATTCAGAAAGGTGGCTAACCAAGACCGACAACAAATTGTCTGATCGTTACATTTGATTAGACTCACTTTTTCTACCGTCATATTCAGTTCTCCAGCAATCAGGCAGCAAAGGGAGAATTGTTTGACCACATCAGAAAAATGAGCCACAAAACAATCAACTGCATGAAGAAACAAAATTTCTGCTTGGGAATCATTATCCGACAGACGCTGGATACGAGAACAGAACCGGAGTAGATCCCGCAAGGAAATTAACCGGTTGCGACCAGATACCGAAGGGGAACTGTTATCGCAGAACGCTTGATTCACTGTTTCGTAAAGTTTAATAATTTTATCCATCAGATGACGCAATGATGGGTAGTATTTATCGAGAAGCTAGACGAACAGGATTGAGGGAAAGTCAAAAGGGTTTAATTAGCTTGATGCCAAACATCATATAGGTCAAAATCAAATTAAATGACCTCGAAAAAAAAAACATATGGAAACAAGGTCATGTGGTCAAGATTTAAAAGTTTCATAACATAGTGGTTTAACAACAATGATACCTTAAACTAAAGATAGATGCAGCTCCAAAGTAATCATGATTTGAAAGAACATTACAGAGGCAAAACAACAAGCAGTCAGTCTAATGGGGAACACAAAAGATTTTTCTTCGTTTACCGCAATTTTGAATATTGCTGTTTTTTTATTTTAGGAGTTGCATATATGAAATGTAATCATGTAACTGGCTTCAACTCAATGCCATAACCAGCAGTATCCTTAGCCAATAATCCGGAAGCCTTAATGGAAACAGGATCCGAACACGATTCTTCCAACTTCTTATGCCACCGCATAGCTTGCAGACCTTGTTTCTTCCGGTCTGTCCCATGCCACACCTATCTGGGAGCGGGCCTCATGTGGTTCGACAATCCATGCCCCGGGGCTTAGGTTGCCGGTTCATATCACAGAATAGCAGGCCCAAGTGATTATGGGGTTCATTCCGTTTGCCGTTCATCACACAAAATGTTTAATGAAAAAATAACTCACCGTAAGGTAGACGCTATCCAGTCATATGTTGGACACGCTTCAACCACCTCAGCCGAATGGCTATTAGTGAAAAAGAATAGTAATATTGAAGTGAACTTCTCTGGCACACCCTTCAGAGAAAGGCGGCGTCAGAGAATTGAGCTATCGACTGAATCAAAAACTACTTTTAGATCTGGGGCCCGCGAAAAGAAAACCAGTGTTCTGTAACCTGACAAAGAATTAAACTATGATTAATACAGTTACAACCAGGTTTAAAAATACAACTTGGTTTTCATGTGTGCACGGTTTACCTTTGGCAGACAGCCGATGGAATAAGATGCCAATGATGAGGAAACTCAATCCTCTATGGATCTTATAAGGTGACCTGTCACCATTCTTGTCAACCAGCAAAATGACTAACGCACAAGACTCGGTTGGAGCCTTTTTCTCTCCTATACGGAATCCAGAAGTTTTGTTAACTCTGAGACCAAGGCCGAACCCCCATGCTTAGAAGTCTGTTCTAGGCATATACTAGGAGGTTTATCCTTTGTGTCAGAACGAGTTTTGAAGGACATGATGACCACCTTGTCGGACAACAGGCGGCCAACGTGTGGCTTTCCTGTAGAGTTCAACAGATGACGTAGAGATGAGGCATGAAGAAATGTACAAAGCTACTATATAAAGAAGGTAACTTGTACCTTCTAAATTGGGGTCAGAAAGACTCGGCAACTAGTTTGCTTTACTTTATCTCTGTATGACGATAAATGTCTTATCTTCTTACTTCCTTTTTTATTTATTGAATATAGAAATGTACAGTCAACATTCAGGAAGGGGGCCGGGGCCATACAAAGGCTGCCTGGAAAATGGAATTAGGGAAGACGGGCGGCGGTAGAGCTGTTCGAACCCATGACTCTCAGGTTACAAGTTGGTAACCTAACCACTTGGTCACCAAAGCCCGAAAGCGCGAGTCTAGGTCTCTGGTAGTAATTACGATATCCATCTTATACGTTTTGAGATAAAGATCTTGTGAATTGTGATCGAGACTATATCCGGGATGCAGTTTGCAGAAGCATATACAGAAATCTCGAATGAGTCCAGTTTGTTTAACTTCCGCCTGATGACATTGCATGAAAATCGGAATCCCACGGCGCATAGTCCATTGTCAAGGGGGAGCCAATACACTAGTTCTTCCAAGACTACTGAGCTATAGGCAATACCAATTCATGCTTCACCAGATGCCGATGAGGCAGGGTCCCCGCATTATGCACTCACATTCATCACCCTCGCCAGCGTTCGCGAACGGAACCGCAATATTGATTCTGTAAACCAATTTCTCCATTTTTCTTCTCCTCTCGTTCTCTTTTGACCGAAACACAAATCTCCTCCTCGTCAGACACCGCCTACCTTCAACTACCCAACTACACATTCCGTTCCTCCTTGCTACCCAAAGCTGGTGTCTGCACCTTCATCCATCAATCAGTCGCCGTCTCCAGGAACCTAACTTTTTACTTTTGCAATCGTGAATTTCAGCTGATGTGGCTGAAGCTCCTACGTCCTTCCTTCAATCATTACTTTTCTGTTCTACATCGTTCTCTCAATAGTGGCGACTCCGTTCCTGTGAATGTTCACCAAGGCTCATTACTTGCGCGAACCTTCTTTCCAAAACTGTCAACCCGATTCATTCTTTTGCCGATGACACCACCCTCGACTGCCCTGTCTCTTATCGCACTACTCGCCATGCCCAAACCAACTTCGATCGTGAAAGTAGTGCAGCTGATGTCACTGGACTCCGATCTTGAACATATCTCCTCCTACAGTAATGTAAATGTCAATGTGTTTCACTTCCCTTTTTGTATACAATATACAAATGTACAGCCAACTTTCAGGAAGGGGGCCGCAGACATATGAAGGCTGTCTGGGAAAATACAGAAGTGAGAAGCCGGGAGGTGGTGGAGCGGTTCGAATCCGAGTCACAAGTTGGTAAACCTAACAACTTGGTTACCACCGCCCATGTTTTAAAACCCCTCTTCTTTCAATTTACCTAAGACACCATTTATTCTCTCCTCACTTATGTTTTGATTCTATTCAACTGCGTTCCACAAACTCTATTTCCCTTCTGTGACTGCCTATAACTTCTTCCTTATGCTGGTCTCCTTTTTTAGTCCAACTTGTTTTTTGTGCTGCGCGTAAGTTTGGTTTTCGATTCCGAGCCAGACACTTTTTCATCCCAGCTCATCTTCTTTTACTGTGAAAAGCTGAAATTCGCCCTGCTTTTGAACAGTGCAGTCACGTGTGAGGTGAGGTGGGACTTTGTTTTCTCTTTCTCTTCTTGATCGTGTTCAACAAAAGACCATCTGGCTAACCGATGATCCTTTCTTAACATCTAACCTGCAGTCACTGGCCCATCGTCAGACAGTTGATTCATTGCCCCTGCTCTACCATTACTACTTCGGTTTTCGTTCTTCGGAAATCGCCTCGGAAGTTCCTCTTCCTGCAAATTTTACCCGTTCATTCCGTAAGCAGGTATCTAGTCATTCTTATCAGATTTCAGTTCCCAGATGTACTTCTCTGTTCCAATATTCTTTCCTCCCTGAACTGTCAAGTTATGGAACACTCCTACTTTCTGTCTTTCCCCCAATTTACAAACTTACACTTTGAACGCAGGATCAATAAACTGAATCTTACGTGAATGTTCCCTTACTCTTCATTTTACAGTATCCTATTTATCTATCGGGATTTCCCCCTATTACTGCAACTCATAACATGTGTAATAAAAAGGTGTAGACATCAAGGGACTAACTGAATTCGGATTCTGAATGTGTTCCAAAGAGGCAAAACAACTCTCTAGACTTTTCAACGTACGGGAAAAACCTGCTCGTTGTCTTATAGACACTGAAGTTTTGACTTTGAACGAAACCTGTTTGAATTCTAATGAGGTCGGAGAAATGGAACGATATGCTCGGCGCATGTGACGTTGATGAAACAGTTGTCGACGTGGATAATAGAGTAGCTACATTAAAACCTACGTCAGTGGGCCAGTGAAAGAATGGGGGATTATTTGGGGTGGGGGGTGTAAAGAGGTAGTGTGTACAGTTTTAGGGAAGAGCGACCTTTGTGAGTGAGTACAAAAATGTAAGGAAAGCATAGAAGTACTCGTCATCAATTAACGGAATCGGTATTCTTTATAACTGTAGATGGTAAGTGTTACTCTTTGATATTTCATTGATCACAAGCCAATGGGACAAACGGATGAATTAGCAAAAAGAAAATGCGAGGTACTGGCAGAACCTACCGCGCATGTAGCATCGTGGTCCATTGAGGGCATCAGAATAAGGCAGGCTTGTTTATCCAGTAGATCAGAAAATAGATTTTCATGTTCAATGCGAAGATCATTTGAAGGTCCTGTGATGAGTCGTCTCGTCATTAGTAGGCGGAAATTGGGATGGATCTTTACTGGTTTGCCGGACACGGGATTCAACAATTTTGCATCTCGAGGTGTGTCATATACGGATTGCGGCTCACCAATGATAGCCGATAAAAGGACACAAACGTCAGCTGAACCTCGATCAATGTCTTCCANGCCAATATCCCTCGGTCAGCGCATCAAATAAAGGGCCCTGGCGCCAAATAAATTGGCCGGGAACTTCCGTACATGAATATCCACCGACCAACGCCTTTGGAAGAAAATCATAGGGAATAAAACAATCGAAATGGACGCAACTGATAATTTGTATCTTGGTTTGCTTGAGAAGCAGCATTTCACACACCAAAAATATACAACCAGAGTTCCATTATATGAATGACGAGACGAAAAATTAACAGATACGCATACCTGACCGGCGTTAATCGCCGCGGAGCTGATGGCGTGCTTCGAGGGAAATTCTGTCGTCATTCACATATTACTTATTACATCATATTTCACTTTTAACACAGCTAAATTTGTTGTTAACAGTATATCGGCAAATTTATGCTCCATATCGCTGATCAGTGATTATATATATATATATGTATAATATATAATACACGGCTGCAAATATTGGTGCACAGATTCTGATTGAGGTATTTTGGCTACCTTTTAGGTAGAATAATCAGGCAGCCGTAGGTGTGAGAAAAAGAGGAGCGCAGTCAAAATAATATGAATATACACCCTAATATTGACACTAGTGGTCCGCTGCACGTAAGATTTATAGAATGAGCGAGGATAAACAACGGCTGAAATACCTGTAATTCTACCGTACATACATAGACCCGCCGTTGGTATCGAACTATCAGAGGTACTTGACTTGGTGCTAGGAACAATGATTCAACTCAGTCATCAACTGGCGATAGCTTGAAAGTAATGCAATACGAAAGTAGTTTGGTAATGTCCCAGAAACCCATGCCTGCATTGACCATGAATTCAACAGAATGGTAACGAGATCACGAAAGTGAAGTAGAAGCAGCACTAGGTTGCACATGACGTTCAAGGGTCAAATTCAGTTCAGTTCAGTTGGAACAACCATTAACCATGCACTTCTGTGTGCCGGCTTTAGTTACGGTCTTTTAGCTGCCCATTTGGATGAACAGTAATCTATGAAGATCCACCAACTGCTCCAGTGGGCGACTACGGTTACCTAAAACTCTCCTCCTAACCTCGGCATTGCTTATACGGCTGCCCCACCAGATTCGTGCAATGCTGTGTAGATAGTATTGTTCGAACACCGACAATCTATTTTATCCTGTTCCCGTAGTGGCCAATTCTCTGCTCCATATAGCAGAACTGGCTGAACTGCCGCAGTATACACTCGACCCTTAACAGACAGCCGGATGTTGCGACGGCGCCACAGATGTCTCAAGTTAGCAAATGCATTCTGTATGCGAGCTGACACTTCATCCATGATGCGTTCACCGGGTGAGATGCCCAAATAACAAAACTTATCCACCTCCTCTTACTTCCCCAGTTAGAGTGAGGCTGGGCACTGGACCAACCCATTCTTGTGGTAACATTTTACATTTTGAATGTGCACAACGCATACCGACGCATACGCTGACATTCAAGTTATCTAGAAATGCTTGGAAGTGACCTGGATCTTCACTTAGCAGCACAATTTCATCTGCGTACTCTAGATCAGACAGTCTGCCATCTGGGAGCAAATCAATGCCACTATCCTCGCACGAGGATAAAGCTGATTCCATAATCAAATCTGTGCCAAGTTAAGCAGAAAAGGAAAGAGAGAGAGGGAAAACCTGACGAACGCCACTTTTCGTGGTGAACTAGGGCGGAAAAGTGCGGTAAGCTCGGACTCGACTTTGGCTATTAATATAAAGGGATCGTACTATTGAAGTAACCTTCTGGGGCACATACTTTAGAGACAGAGGCAGCGCCAGAGATTGGAGTGGTCGACTGAGTCGAAAGCCATTTTCAGATCAAAGAAGACACAGATGGCGAGTCTACGAAAAGAATGTCAGTGCTCCAGAGTTTGTCGAAGAGTGAAGATGTAGTCAATACAAACTCGACCTGATCTAAAGCCAACCTGGTTCCAACGCGCTCACCATTCACGCGCGGCAGACAATTATATATTTATTATTATATTATATTATTTATGATCACCAATTTACATC